ATTAGAAAATTAGACAATTTTAAATAGTTTTTGACAGGTCTTAGACACAATTTTATATGTATAAAATCTTGACTAAAATTAAAAAATATGTCTAAAACTATTACTGATTTAATACTAAATAGAATAACTATTTTATTACTTTTTTAAAGTATTAAATGTTAGTTAAATATAGTCTAATTTCTGCTGATTATTTTCAAAAAAATTTAGTATTTTAATTATAGCCAAAGTTATCCAATACAACTGACACTTAGTAAAAATAATCATTTAATAATTGATAGTTATTTAATATATTACTAGATAAAATAATATAATTTATCACATTTTAAAGTAATGAAAGTTATCTGAAATATAGTCTGATTCTACTTATTATTATCAAGAAAATCAGTATTTTGAATAAATAAAAAATTAATTATCAATTAACATTAATATTGAAATTGATTTAAAATCAGCTTAAATCAGCTTAAAAACAGCCAAAAATCAATTAAGCAATTATTTGTTATTTATTATTTATAATTTTATTTTATTATTACATAATAAATTACTCAAAAAAAATATATTGCAATATATTTTATTTAAGAAAAAATACATTTGATTTTTTAAAGATAAGAAAAAATAAAGAAAACAGTTAAAAATCATCAAAAACCATTCCAATTTATTTACCTTAATGTATTTCTAAAGAAAAAATAAAGAAAAAAATTAAAAATCCATTAAAAAATCATCTTTAATTTATTTATCTTAATATATTCCTAAAGAAAGTAAAGAAAAAAACCAGAAAACAGTTAAAAATCCAATAAAAAATCACTTTGATTTACTTACCTTAATGTATTTCTAAAAAAAAGTAAAGAAAAAATAAAAAAACAATTAAAAAAACTACTAAAAGATCACTTCTGATTTACTTATCTTAATGTATTCTTAAAGAAAGTAAAGAAAAAATAAAGTATGTTAAAAACTTATCAAAATCATTTTAATATACTTACCTAAATGTATTTCTAAAAAAAAATTAAGGAAAATAAAAAAATTGCTAAAAAACCGCTAAAAAAACCACTATTTATTTATTTATTTTAATGTATTCCTAAAAAATACCAAAAAATCATTACCATCTTAATGTATTCTTTAAGAAAGTAAATAAAAAAATAAAGAAAACAATTAGAAAACTATTATAAAACCACTTCTATTTTATTTACCTTAATGTATTTTTAAAGAAAATAAAAGAAAAAATAAAAATATAGTTAAAAAATCACTAAAATACCACTTCTGAAAGTCTTACCTTAGTTTTAAAAAAAGAATTTTTCTAAGAAAAAAAGTGTTAAAACTATCTCTGCAAGACTTACCTTAGTTTTGAAAAAGAATTTTCCTAAAAAAAATAAAAAAAAAAAAATAAAAGTTAAAATCTATCTAAAAATCATTTTTAATTTGCTTACCTTAAATTTTAAATAAAAAAAAGAAAAAGTTAAAATTTAGCCAAAAAATTAAAGATATTAAATAGTCTCAAAATGATTATAAACAAATATAGAAATTACGAGTTATAGAAAAATCTAATTGCTTAACTATAATAAGTAACTCTTGATAATAATTGCAATAATAAATTTTATAAATAACTTTTAAAAGAAATATAAATTTTGAAATCGACAATTTTTATGAAACCGCTAAGGTAGGATTTAATCCTTAAGACTGGATTTTAAGTTTCAAAAATTAAGATTCTGGATTTCTGCATAAATTTAATATTTATTTTTAATAAATATTTAATTAATAAATTATCATTAGAAAATAAAATATAATGTCAATAAAATACAAATCTTCTCTAAAACTAACAAATTTATTAGAACTTTTAGAACTGTTTAGAATCATTTAATATTCCTATAAAAAATCATCTTATTAAAAAAAAATATAATTTTTTTTGAAATATTCTAAAAGGTTATCAGTTTTATATTATAAATTGAACTAAAATTTCAATCTGAAATTTAAATATTATTTATTTATTAAGAATAATTTATCATAAATATTTCAAACAGATGATTTTACATCATCTGATTAAAATGATTATAAAATCTCAAAAGAAATGATATTTTGATTATTTCTTAAAAATGATAATAAAAATTTTTTTTAAATCATTCTGAAAGAATAATAATATAGAAAATCATTTTATTGAAATGATATTTTGATTATTTCTTAAGAATAATAATTTTATCATTCCTTAAAAATAATATGAAAAATTATTTTAAAGGTTTGATTATGCATTATTCTAATAGAATAATAAAGAAATTATTCTTTAAAATAATAATATATCATTCTGAAATTACAATGAAAAAAAAAATTATTTTTTTTAAAAAATAATGATAATAACAAATTATCCATTTTCAGAAAAGAATGATAAAAATATCTTTTCTTTAGAAATAATTTCTATTATCTTTTAAGAATTCATTTTATGATGATTTTATTATTTTTTTCAGAATGATTTCTATTATCTCTTTAAAATAAATATATTGTTCCTTTTAGAACAATTTCTATGATCTTTTTAAGATGATTACTCTCAGAATATTTTAATAATTTTTACAAAAATTAGTTTAATTGATTTTGACCAATAAAATATAATTGATTTGTTACTTAATCTTAAGTCTAACTGAAATTTTACCAAATATTATAACCAAAAGGTTTTAGTACTAAAATAATACTAAATTATATATAGTATAATAAATTATTATTAATTTTTATAATTTGAGCTAAATTTTTACTAAATCATATAACTGAATCAGCTGAATGTTTGAGAAAAGTCTTAATGCTGAAATAATACTAAATTATATATAACTACTAATTTTTATTTTTTGTTATAAGTTCTAATCTAATCTATTGTATTTATATTTTATAAATATATATAATAAAAATTAATTACATTAATTAAATGAACTATATTAAATAAATTAATCATATTAAATATATTAATATATTAATCATATTAACTATATAGAAGCTTTGAAGTAGAAAGAAAAGAAATTTTAAAAAAATTTTATTTTATTTTATAAATTAAATAAAACCAGATTTAATATTAATTCAAAAAAAAATTTTTTTAAATTTTACTGTAAAGCTCTTATATTAACAATATCAATGTTATATATATAGATCAATTTTGCAAATTAATTTGTAAATCTGTTTACAATGTATACTAATAAATAAATTTATATGGAAAAATTATTATGATACATATATATTAATTATTTTTTATTATATAATAAAATTTATAAAATTTCATATAATGTAATATATAATATTTATTAAATGAATTATAAATTTATAAATCAATTATATTTATTATTTTATTCAACTTGTTAATTTATCCAATAATATGTGTATTAAATTTATTATATAGAATAATACATACATTTATAAAATTTATATGTAGAATTTTATTAGTCATATATAAATATATATTTTATATTACAAAAATTATATACTAGGTATTATATTAAATCTAATAAAGGATATAAATAAAAATATTTATTATTATTATATTTTAATTCATTTTTAATATTAATAATATATTGATTTTTAAGTTATTATAATTTATTTTTTTATAAAATTGAATTTTTATATCAATAAAAAATAATATCATTTATAATAAATATATATTACTATTTTTTAATAATATGAATTAATTAAATTTATAATAAAAATAATAATTATAATAATTATATATATATAAGAAAAAAGAATTATATATAAAATAAAAAAATAATAAAAAAATGAAATAAATATGAAAAGTTAGGATTTTTAAAATCATAAAAATATAAGAATTAGGCTAATTAGAAAATATACAGATCTTTTAAAATATAATAACTTTTATAAATTATTTGGTAAATAGATCTTTGATAAATCAATTTTTTAATGCTGAATTTTACTAATCATGATATAAATTATATAAAAAGTATTTTGATAAAATAATAAATATTGTTAGTTTGAAGCATATTAAAGGATTATATATGTTATATAAGTAGTGACAGAAAATGTCTATTTGTTTACTTTCTTAATAATTGAGTCATTACATAATTGATTTCTTTTTATTATACTTGTACTTTAGATATAACAATGGTTTTTAAACCATTTCTAACAATTTATTTTATAAATTATATAAAAATGATAAAAGTAATAATTATGTATTTTTGACTATTTAAAATTTACAAAATAGTTTGACTGTATACTAATAGTATTTCCTAAGAAAATTTTTTAAGTATAAAATTGCATAATAAATTTGTATGTATTAATATAATTTTTAGGAATGTTAAACAATCCCAAATAATTGTGAACAAATTTAGAAATTATGAGTTATAGAAAATTCTAATTGCTTATCTATAATAAATAACTTTTGATAAAAATTTGTTATAATAAATTTATGAATAACTTTTAAAAGAAATATGAACTATGAAATCATGGGACCAAAGTGGGATCCAGTCCTTAGGATTTCCGCATAAGTTTAATAATATATATGTTTAATATTAATATATTATCATTTGAAAGTAAAATATAAAATAAAAATCTTCTCTAGAACTGGCAAATGAAAATTAAGATTTAATTATTTTATTTTTTACAAATTAATGACACTTTTTTTTTATTTGCAAAATTATTTATAAAAATACATTTAATAAATAAAATCAGATTTTGCAAAAAAATTTCTATTATAGAGATTTCATTCTGTAGCAAAATATTAATTATTATATTATATTTTCAACTGATAGTAATAAAAGTAGAATAAAAATTGGTCTTTTGGGATTACAAAATAGTATTATTGAAAATGAGCAAACATGCTTAAATGAAAAGTGTAAATATTGGTTAAGGTATTATTATATAAGAATTCATTGCTTTTTCTTTTTTTGAAGTCAATTCATGAGAAAATTATCAATATAATTTATAGTCGTCGGAGGAATCGTCAGATTAGGATAAATTAAACCTGTTTTTTCCAAGGAAATATAAATACTCGAACATTTTTGTGATATTACACTTTCAGAAAGATGTCGTATAATAAAAGTAATTATCATTTCTTTTAAAATAATTTATCTTCATAAACCTTATTTTGTTTCATACTTTTTTTTATTATTATAGAAAGTATTTTTGCTTGTACTCCAGCTACTTCTCGTGGTCAAGCTGTTCAACTTGGCGTTGACCCAAAAGGAGAAAATTTTCTTTACACGAATGGTAAAACTGTTTTCATTAGAAATTTAACTGTAAGTTATAAATCATTATCATTTTTTAAATAGTTGATAATTCCATTAATTAAATTTAAGAATTTATTTTTCACTTAGAATCCAGCAATTGCAAAAGAGTATACTGGACATTCAACAAATACCACTGTTGCACGATACTCTCCCAGTGGTTATTACGTTGCATCTGGAGGTAGGCTTAAAACTTCATAAATGTTCCTTTTTATGGTCCTATGGATCTTAACATTCTGCTTTCCTCAGATAACTATGGAAATGTTCGAATTTGGGATGCAATTCAAGACGAAAATATATTGAAAAATGAAGTTAAAGTCATTAATGGTAGGATTAATGACCTTAGTTGGGATTTCGAGAGTAAAAGAATAATTGCTGTCGGTAATGGTAAAGAAAGGTACATATCTCTTTATATATTCATAAAATAAATATTTATTTAATTACTAATTGTTTTTAACTTAATCTTAGATATGGGCATGCATTTTTGTTTGATACTGGATCATCTTCTGGAGAGATCATCGGACATTCTAAAGTGATTAATAGTGTTAGTATTCGACAGAAACGACCAATGCGAGCTGCCACAGCTTCTGATGATTTTACTGTTGTATTCTTTCATGGACCACCTTTTAAACAAAAATTGACAATAAAAGATCATACAGCATTTGTCCAAGGAGTAGAGTTTTCACCTGATGGTAGCAACCTCGTAACCGTTGGTTCAGACAAAAAAGTAAGTGATGATTTGCTTTGTACATATGATTATTTATTACTGATATAAATATTATTTTAATTAAGGTATTTTTATATGATGGAGATACAGGTGAAAAACGTATTGATCTTTCTGAAGTTGTTGGAGAAGAGTCTCATAAAGGTGGTATTTTTGCTGTATCATGGTCTCCTGATAGCAAACAATTGCTCACATCATCAGGAGATAAAACAGTGAAAATTTGGGATGTTGAAGCTCAGAAAGTAGTTCGGTAAGTTATTTGAAAGCATTAATTTTGGGATTTGTAAGAGATTTAAATTTATATATTTTCAATATTAGGACATACGAGTTTCCGGATGTTGTTGATAATCAACAAATTGGAAATTTATGGGCCGGAAAATTTCTTGTCAGTCTTTCATTATCCGGCGACATTAATTACTTGGATCCGAATTCTAATTCTACTTCAAGAGTAGTCAAAGTAGGCGAATTGTTATAATTATTACTTGACTTGTTATTATATACAAAAAATATTCATTATATTAATTAATCATTAGGGTCATCAAAAAGCAATTACAGCCTTTACTAAAGACAAAGATGTTACATTATTTACTGGGAGTTATGATGGGAAAATTTATATCCTTTTCTTTTCTTAATTTTTTTTAGAGATTTGTTAGAATTGTTATCAAAACGTTACTTAACTCTTTCAAACATGCTTGGAGTGGAGAAGAGGGTAGTGCTATTTCAATTAGCGGAGAAGGTCATACAAATCAAATTAATCAAATTGCTCCTCTGGATGGTAAATTATTTTCGATTGGTATGGATGATACTCTCCGGACTATTAATGTTGAAGCCAGGACATTCAGGTTACAATGAACTTTAATGAATTAAATTTTGTTTATATATTAAATATGAGACCTAAAAGTCTTCACCAAATATAGTGAACCGGTAGTTAAAACCAATGCGATGCCAAAGGGAATTGCCATTAAAGATAACAAAATTATCGTATCCACTACAAAATCCATTGACATTATAAAGAATAATGATACCATATTTTCACTGGATATTTCATATATTCCTACAGTTATGGGAATTACTACAGATGGTTCTTTAGTCGCCGTTGGCAGTGAAGTAAGATTTTTATTGATAGAATTAGTTATTATTACACATCTTAAAAATTTATTTTAAGAAATAAATTATTTACAGGAATCAAAAGTGACAATTTATAAATCGAATGGTGAGAAGCTTGAGGAGGAGAAAGTGATTGTGAATAGAAACGCCATATCGACACTGGCATTTTCTCCAGACGGAACTTTGTTGGCTGTCGGTGATGCGCAAGGAAAGATTATGGTATATGATACGAATAGTTACGAGGTAAATAATAATCACGATTTATTGAAGACCATATTATATAAACTTGAAATTAATGTTTTAATGATTAGGCCAAGATTAAACAATGGGTGTTCCATTCGGCAAAGGTTAATTGTATTGCGTGGTCACCAGATGGTCTTCATGCGGCCAGTGGGTCATTAGACACTTATATTTATATATGGAGTGTAGAAAAACCAATGAAGAATATTGCTATTAAAGGTGCGCATCAGGTGGCTGTGACCGGTGTAACATTTTTGGATAATGAAACTATATCTTCGGTTGGTCATGACGCTTGTGTTAAAACTTGGACTATTAAACATCATCAAGTCTAATCTAAGTTTTGGTAAGGATATGATTTGAATTCATTTATTTATTTATTTATTAATTTTATAGTAGAATTACATAAATACAAAAACAATATAAATTTTGCCATCAAATAGCTTGTATTTGATTTTTCGAATTTTATTCAACTTTGGTATTGAACATAAGTTATATAAAGTATATAGACGATCTTCTTTTTATGGAAACAAAAATTTTTATATCCCGGAAAACGCGAAAACCCGAATTCATATCGTGGCTTTTCTTTTTTGGTCTAAGCCTTTTTTTTTATATGCATTGTCGCGATTGTTCTGTGCCGCGTGAAAGAAAAATCAGGTTTAAAAAAATTTTTTTTATAAAATAAATAACCTTCAAATCCTTTGGATCAGATTAACTCAAATTATTTTAACGTTTTGATGATCACAAAAAGAAAACATTTCGAAATCATAAGTCATAATTAATCTTAGAGAAAATATAGCTTTATATGTTAAATCAAATATTTCAAAACATACAAAACATAAGGTAACCAATTTTGTGGTTATATCTTTCAAATAAATGGTTTCAATTTAAAATTTAAATATATTAATTCATATAATAGAAATATGAAGAGAAAATCACGCGGAACGACAAGGATCATTGAAGCTGTTGAAGAAAATAAAATCAAAAGAATTGAGCTGAGCTGCGTTTTTTTGACAGTATTTTTTGTACTTTGCTTAAGATTTTATTTGATAGAATTAATATTTTAAAACTAGCATGAATTTATTATATCTGTAACCAAATTAATTTATTTTCAATTTTAATAAAGTTTTCTTCTTTTCTTGATACTTGATAATACCCTTAAAAAAAATTTATTTTTTCGCGAAAGCTTTGGGTATATCAAGATCGGCTAAGTTTTTTTTTGGTCAAAGCCCTTTCTTCAATTATGGTGGGATTGGCTTAATTTTCTTAATGAAAACTAGGGTGTCACACGCCGAAAATTTTCAACAACTTTACATTGTGCAAAATAAGTTTGAGTGAATAACTTAATTTATTCATTTGCTATACTTTAATACTACTAATAAATAAACTTAAATTTTAATATTTTGTATGTTGAAACGACCGAAGCGAAATAAAAAAAGGCTACTCATATTATTTAATCCCCATTATCTTTTCATAGAAAGTAATTCTATATATTGATGTTTTAGGAAGCAATGGGTACTATCTAACCTTTTAAGACAATTGATTTATTATTTTGGAACAAATCATCATTTCTGCGCCGCGAGACTTTTTTTATTTAACTAGTACGATTTTTTTAAATTACGCATTTTTTGCTTATAAATAAATATAAATAAATTCATAAAGAAAATGATAACTTGGAAATATTTTTTAAATCCATTAGTTATTTTATTGGTTTCTTTTATCTGTGGAAAAATTTATCTATATATGTAAGGACACTTACAAATTCATTATCTAAAGTTTTTTTATTATTTTCTTTTTTCTATTTATTTCTGTTTACTCATTAATTCCACTCAAAAGTTTCAATGACATTCAACCGCAATTGTTGTCGGAGGCCAATGCACCAGTTATACTTTTAATTGGAAAAACGGGTACGCACTGAAATCGTTACTTAATTCATTTAGTTCTTTTCATCGAAAAATATCTATTCGTTATTAGGCTCCGGTAAGAGTTCGTTGGGAAATTTTTTGCTAAAAAGATCTGGATATAATATAAAGGCTTTCAACGTTTCCAATCAATATGTAAGCATACAGAGTATCGACATTTATTTGATTTAATATGGTTTAGTTAAATTGTTATTTCACCTCGAAAATGGTAGGATTCGGTCACCAATAAGTCTGGTTTCGCAACTTATAAAATTGGCGAAAACATTTACAACATCGTTGACACCCCAGGGTTTTTTGATACCAGCAGACCCAATGAAGAAATTATAGAAGAAATCGTGCGAACCGTAAAGAAATGTATTTACGGGATTAAGGCCATATTATTCTTATTTGGTAGTAGGGGAATCCATGTAATTTATTACATATTCGAATTAGTGGATGTATACTTAATGAAGCTGTTATTAACTATTTACAGATGCCATAAGGGTAACGGATGTGGAAAGGAACTTGATGAACGGAACATTGACGCTTTTCGGGGAGGAGTCTCTCCTACACATGATCACTGTCTTTTCGCGTCGTGATAAGGACCAGACAGAAAATCCTGAAAATTTTGAAAAGTCTTGGAATGATGATGTTCGTCGTTTCGTCAATTCCATGGGCTATCGGTGGGCCATTTCTCCTAGTCCCGACATATTTGGACCCCGTACTCAGATGCATAAACAACATCTAGAGAAATTAGAAAAACTTATTGTTTCCCTTAATGGAGAATATACAAATGAAATGCTCGAAGAATTACGGAAAAAGCAGGAAGACTCTGAGCGAACTGCAAGGGAAACTGAAGAGCGAATTGCAAGGGAAGCTAAAGAGCGAATTGCGAGGGAAGTAGAAGAGCGAATTGCAAGGGAAGTTAAATTTGCAAGGGAAGTTGAAAAGCAAATTGCAAGGGAAACGGAAGAACGAATTGCAAGGGAAAATAAAGAGCGAATTGCAAGGGAAAATAAAGAGCGAATTGCAAGGGAAAATAAAGAGCGAATTGCAAAGGAAGCCAAAGAAAAAGCAAGTAAAGAAATGGATGAACTAAAAAAATTAGTTGAAACCCTTACAAATAAACTTGCCTCAGGAGGGTCCTCAGGAGGGTCCTCAAGTGAGTCCTCAGGAGGGTGTTTCTCTCTTGAAACGCGAGTAAAACTCGAATCAGGAAAGGTCATTTATATGTCAGAACTTCAAGTGGGAGATCGAGTATTGTCAAACATTAGAAATAACGTTGAAGAGTTTTCAGATGTTTACCTTATTGCCCACCTTGGTAAACTCGATCATGTAGAGAAATTTACCAAAGTCAGCTTCACCAAACCAGACGGGTCTAAAGGTACCTTTTTCAACTTGACTACAAGTTTGAAGACTAATCACTCAAATTCACCGATTAATCTTTGCTCATCGTTATAGGTCAATTACGACTGACAACCACTCATTATGTTTTCAAGGAAGATTTGTCGATCGTTTTTGCCAAAAACTTACGTCCAGGAGAATCCAAAATTTTAGTATCGGATGAAAATAATAAGCTAGTTCCAGTCTTTGTAGATAATATAACAAACGTGGGTCTAATTGGTTCTTACTTACTTTCTTTTCCTGGGTGATATTAATATATCCATGAATTTCGAATACAGGAATGGCATGATGAATACGTAAGCTTTTACACGCGGGCCGGCTCGGTTGTTGCTGACGGTGTATTAAGTTCCTGCTATGACGATTGCCCGCCATATCAAATGCTTATGGATCTTGTTTTTTTGCCAATTCGTTGGTGGACTCACATAATACCAAGCACGCATCGTGAAGGAAGGCTTCATCCGTATGTGCAATTCTTGGAAACGACATATTTTTCTCTTATCAATGTTATGCCCAAAGGGTTAATTACTATGCATTTGTAAAAAAAAAAAAAAAGTTCAGAACTATAAACTATGGTTCAAAATTTTGGCATGAGTCCTTTAATTTTTTTTTGATCTGCCACTGAGTATAAATAAAAGTGTCATTTATTCTTTCGTTCCAGAATTTAGAAATTACATACTATAATAGAAAGTTTATTCTTAATTTCGAAATAGTTAAAGTCAACACTTGGTTTGTCCTTTTCTAATTTTCCCATTCTTCACTTAGTGCAACTTTAAGTTCACCCACAGTTCTTGGAAAGACCTTACAACTCTGGATATTGTCCTTTAACTGCTTCCAGATGTTTTCTATTGGATTTAGGTCGGGAGAATTTGCCGGTCAATCAATAACCACGATTTTATTCTTCCTTGGTTATTTCGCGGTATGAATGGGTGCATTATCCTGTTGAAAAATTGCAGCCCTTCCTGTTAACTCATGAACTGTATGCTGAAATGAATATAGATATGAATTTAGGGTTCTAATGTAAGTATTTGAATTGATTTTTTCATTTCCTTCTTTATTTTCATCACATAGTTTCCTCCCTTCTACTGCAAATCTCTCAGATGTCAGTTTGTACAATCTGGCAAAATGTGACAATATCAATAATAGTATGTTACTTAGATGCATTGATAGCATGCCGTATTAATACATGTATCGAAGTCATATAAATATTAATTAATTAATAAAAATTGTTTCGTTAGTATCGGCAATTTAATTAAAAAAAATTGTATTTAATAATAAAGTTTTTACATACCATTTAAAATTATATCCACCATTCTTTTTAGTTAGGGACTGTATATGTACCATATGATTTTATGAATAAAATGTATATAATGCTTTCTTGTAATAGTTCTGATCTCTAAATAAATCAGTCTTCTTTTGCGTTCATTATTTAAATAATTTATTTACATAACATGTTTATTACTCCATTTGCATAGAGAAAAAATATATGCAAACTATAAAAATTAACTTGTCAACCAATGTGTCTTTTTGTGTTTTTAAGTCCTTTCTATAATACATAGTTCTTTTTCTTCTGATAGTACTAAATATTTAGGTATAATAAAACACAAATAATTCCTTATTATAAACAAGAATAGATCTAATATTTATTAGTACCATAAAACTTTAAATGATAAGCTATTTAAAGTATTAAACTATTATTTTATTTGAATTGATTATTTGTCTATTATTAACTTTATAAAATATAGTAAAAGTATTATCATATGGTAAGTTTGCTAAAAAAAAAAAAAAAATAGGGTTCTAATTATTTTTTTTATCAGAATTCCATTTTCCTAGCAAACCTCCTATATACTAAGTCTTGATAATATTTCTTAGTAGAATTATATTCTTAAGATTGTATATTCTATTTACCTTATTTCTTTGAAGCTTAAAAGTAAACTTTAACAAACTAATACTATTTGAATAACATATATTGGATATCAGATTCTTTTTGAATCAAATCTAATTTGAACCTTTTACTTTTTTTTTTAATAATTAATAATTACAATAATTAGAATATTAAATCACATTATAAAAGTTAATATAATTCTAATCTTCAAATAATTTAAATGTTAAAGATCTGCATTGAAAAAAATCTATTAAAATTTTAATCTTCATTATTATTTAAAAAAAATTTATGGTGAGATTTAAAAAATAAGATTCCTACTATCCTTTATTACAAACTTTACAGAGATCCATGATAAATTCCAAAATTTCATATCTTTGAAGTTTTTTTTTTTAATAATTAGTTAACTAAATTTAAATTTTTTAAATTATTTTCTTTTTTAGTTTTCATAGTATACCAAGCTAAGGCCTTTACTATTTAACTTTTTTTCAAAGATTTTATTTTGTTTTTTTCTTTAAAGATATTTTTTTTTTTTTTTTTCTTCAAAGTTATTTGAACTATTATTAAAATTATTCAAAATGATATTTTTTTCTTCAAAGTTATTCAAAATGTCATTTTTTTTTTAAAGTTATTTAAATTATCATTTTTTTCTTAAAATTATTTAAAATAGCATTTTTTTCTTTAAAGTTATTTAAATTATCATTTTTTTCTTCAAAGTTATTTGAAATAACATTTTTTCTTAAAAGTATAATATTAATATATTTAAAACATATATTTTTAATAAAAATCAATTTTCCTTATTAAATCTTAATATATATATCATTTGATTAAAAAATTGATTAAAATTGTATTACATTCTTTAGTATAATACAATTGTGAATAACTATATAGTTGAGATTTATCTAGACCAATTTTATACTAATAAATAAGAGTGAATTTAAATAGTTCTTTGATGATCTGCAAAAAAATTTAAATAACATCAATATTTTAAAAGATATTAACCTGTTAAGATATAATAACAGAAAGCTAAAAACAAAATATTTTACTAAATCTTAAAATTTCACCTACTTTTTCATACTATGCTCCCTCATTTGATAAGTATTATCTTTGATCTTCTGTAGGAAAAACTATAATATCACTTAATCATCCTTTACCTTAGAATTCATCTGTAGTTCTTAAAAATTTTATTATATTTCAGATGAATTGTATTATAAACTTTAATACAAAAATCTTTACATTTTATCAAAAAATAAAGTTGTATTTAAAAATGCATCTAATATGAGATTATTTGTGAAAATATATTAATAAAATTTTAGTATGACAAATTTTTAGATTCTTTTAGAGATATTATTTTTAAGTAAAAATTATTTTTAGATAATATTTCTGAATCCTTCAATTTTATGATAAATAATCTTTCTGATAATAAAATTTAATTTTTTACATTTTATTTGCAGAAATCTGATATGAAAAATATTAGTTTATTTTTACTATAATTTTAAACTGAAATTTATTTAATATTTATATACCAATAGTATTTACTAATTACTGCATAACTTCACAGTTTGATAAATGGTAAGAATTCTTATAAAATATTTATGAAAGATTTCATAGGTTTGTATCAATAAACTATTTAAAATTTTATATTTACGAATTATAAAAATTAAACAAAAATAAAAGTAAAATACAAAATGATATTTTATGATTTTCAGTTAAAAAGTTTGAATTTCACTTGTATAGTAACGCTAGCTATGTAGTTTAGAAAAACTGCAGTTTAATATAAATGATGAAAAAAAAATATTCTTAAAGTTGGTATACAAATTAATAATTGCATCCTATTTTGATTGAAATTATTTAATTATTCTAGTTTTATATTTTTGATTATTAATTATAAATTAAATAATTCCATTTTTAATATTTAAAAGAAATTTAAAATATATATGAAGCTATTTTACTTGATTAAATACATCATCTAGAACTAGAACTTTTTATATATATAATGGATTATATATAAGAACTCTTGAGTAAATAATGTGAAAGTTGAATAATTGATAAATTTAATAATAGACTAAAAGCAATTCAAAAATTCTTTAAATTAAAAATCTTCAATAATAGTATTATCACTGTAAAACAACAAATAAGTATTGAATTTAATAAAATAATTTCATGATATTTAATGATTTATTTAATGATAATGATCATGTTAAAAAATAAAATTATAATAACAGTTATATATATATCTTCAAATAGGCTAACTACTGTATTTCTTTCTTTTATTTATATGTATTTAATAAATTATAAAAAGAAATTTTCAAAAAAAAAACATAAATAAATTTAAGGTAATGATAATAAAATTCTTTTTATAAATTATATGATTTTATTAATTAGTATATTTATTCACTTTGATAGAATTTGATTATAATATGAAATCATAAATTTGTAAATATATATTTTCTTAATTTAATCCAAGTGGATTGATTACGTTTACTAAAACTACATTCTTGAAGATATTATAAATAAGATAATATTTTTTATCAGTTTTGTGTTTGATTATTTATCAATAATCTGACACTATAATTATATTAATATTAATAATTACTTAACTTAGATTTATCAAAAAGCATTAATAGAAACTATTATTCATACCAAAATAAGAAAGTATAAAACATTGTCAGGTAATTTTCAAAATTTATATTTATCATCATTTAAAAAATATTTGTAAGTTTTCTGATGATTAAAAATCATAGTTTCTTTGCAAATTAAAGGAATTAAAATCTACTCTTAACAATTAATACTTTTCTTAATAATGCATTTATAATATCTCTAATTATAATAAAATTTTATGCAACTATATAATCTATAATATTAAAATTAATAAACATTATACATATAATAATACTTTATAATTTATTGATATTGTTTTTGCGATAGATGCAAAAAAAACTATTAATTATAATATAAATCAAAAAATATGTTTTGAAAAAGTAATTATATAATTGTTATTATTGTATTTAAATTTTTTATTTTATTATAAAATGACTTTTATATTTTTAAAATTAGATATTACTATTAAAAGAAATATTTATCAACAGTTTATATAAATTCACTTTTATAATAATAAAATGATATGATTATGAACTAAACAAAAGTAATTATGAAGTATTGAAAATTTATAAATATTCTTGACTATTAATATTAAAGAATTATAATGTAATACTATTAGATTTCATAATAAAAACTATTCATATAATACCAAAATTTTATAAAATAATCAGTTTTTAGTAAATAGATATTAATCACTATATAATTTATGGTTTATTAAGTGTTTTTTACTTAAAAATATACAATTATTTTAATGAATCCAGTAAGTTATCAATAAAGCAATTATTTAAATACCTTATTTACTGTTAAGATTCGTAAAAATTACAAGTTAACATTACCTTTACTTAATAAAATTAGTTAATTCATTAATAAAATTTATTAATAAATTAATAAATTTATCAGAATAGTTAATAAAATTTATTAATTTATTAGTAAAAATTTATTATAAATTGTTAATGAATTTGTTAACTATTAATGTTTTTATTGATTTACTAATAAATTTCATTTTGAATTATTAACAAATCATGTTAATAAATTATTAACTATAAAAATAAATCAATA